TCTGACTACCTACACTAAAAATTAAGAAAAATCACAAATAAGTGGCTTAATGATGCAAGTCAAAATGTTGTCAACATCATCATAAATGAGGTAAAGCTTGAATCATTCCCTTTGATGTCAGGAATGAGAGAGGGATACCTACTAGTCACATTCCTTTCCAACATTTTGCTTGAAATACTAGTTGAAGTAATAAGTCAATAGATGGAAATTAGAGGGTTACATATAGGGAAAGAAGAAGTCAAACTTTATTTGCAAATGATAAATTACAATACATTAGAGATCCCCAAAATTCTATCAAAAACCTTTTAGATTGGACCAAAACATTCAACAGGATGGCACTATCCAAAATCAAGTTGTACAAATCAATAGATTGCTGGGCAGTCATGGTACACACCTTTAATCCCATCACTCAGGAGGCAGAGGCAGGTGGATCTTTGTGAGTTCTTTGAGACTAGCCTGGTTTACAAGAGCTAGTTCCAGGACAACATCCAAAGCCACAGAGAAATCCTGTCTCAAAAAAAAGCAAAACAAAACACAAATTAATAGATTTCTACATCTCACCAATGGACATAGAGCAAAGGAGATCATGGGCACATGCCCAATCCCAATACATCAAAGAAAATAAAATATCCATGAAAAAAATCTAACCTAGGAAGTGAAGGAACTCTACAAGGGGAACTAAACCTCTGAAAAGGAGATAGAGACAATCACTAGAAAGTGGAATGACATCCCATGCTAATGGATTGGTAGAATTAATACTGTGACAGTGACTATTATGCTAAGTGCTACTTAGAGATTCAGTGCAATCCTAATCTATATACATTCTACACAGAAATGGAAAAACACCATCCTCAAATTTATATCGAATCACAAAAGAACTTGATAGTGAAAACAAACATGAGCAAAAAAATGATGGTAATGGTTACAATTTCAGATCTTAAGGTATATTTCAGAGCCATAGTAATAAAAGCAATATGGTACTTCATAAAAACAGATATGCAGCTGGGCGGTGGTGGTGCATGCCTTTAATCTCAGCTCTTGGGAGGAAGGCAGAAGCAGGCTGATCTCTGTGAGCTCAAGGCCAGCCTGGGCTACAAAGCCAGTTCCAGAATGGGTCCAAAGCTACACAGAGAAACCCTGTCTAGAAAAATGGGGAAAAATCAGATATGCAGACCAATGGAAAAAATCGAGGGCCCACATGAGTACATATAACTTCAACCACTTAATATTTAATAAAAATGTCAAAACTTTTGATGGAGAGAGGGGGAAAGACATCTTCAATGATCAGTGTTGGTACAACTGGATATCCACACATAGAAGAATGAAAATCTATCACCTACCACAAAACCTAGCTCCCAATATATCAAAAACCGAAATGTAAAACCCAAAACATTGAAACTGCTGGAAGAAATTATAGGCAATATCCTACCTGATGTAGAAGAAAGAACTTTCTGATAGGATTCCATTTGCCCAATAATTAAGGACAACAATTGGAAAGTAGGAGTTTATGAAACTATAAGTCTACACAGTTATGGAACAACCAATAGGTTTAAAAGGCAGTCAACATAATGGTAAAGAATATTTGCCAGATATTGATCCAACAGAACCAATATCCAGAAGAAAACAAAGAACTAAACAAATAAAAAGTAAAATAATTTTAAAAAGACACACTTGAAAAATGTACCTGGGACCTGAATATAGAGTTAACAAAGGAAACAAAAGCAAAAAAATGATTAAAAATATCTAGAAAAAAATGTTAATGATGCCTACAAATTAGAGAAATGCAAATCAAATCAACTTGGGATTTAACTTACCCCAGATACAAAGGCAAATAAATATCGATGGAAAACATGACAGTAAGTGCTGGAGGGGATCCAGGGAAAAGGCAGGACTCATTCACTATGGTTGGGGTTGCAAATTGGTGCAGCCCCCATTAAGATCAGTTTGGATAGTTATCATAAAGCTAAAAATTAATATCCCATATAACACAGCCACACCACACCTCAGAATATGCCCAAAGGACTGAACATCTTCCTTCATAGATAATTGCTCTATCATGTTTATTGTTGTTTTGTTCACAATAGTTAGGAGGTAAAAATAATTTAAATGTTGGACAACTGATGAATGGATAATGAACTAAGGGTTACTCTTCAACTGTGAAGAAAAATGAAATCAGTAACATTGCAAGTAAATAGATGGAACTAGAAAAGATCATATTGAGTGACATAACCCAGATCTGGAAGGCTGCCATCACATACTCTCTCTTATTAGAGGTTCCTATCTTTAAATCTTCAGTTGGGGGTTCACAGCTCATAGTAACTACAGAAACCAGCAAAGTGAAATGGGAACATTCCTGCAAGGTAGGGGGATTTGGGAACAATAGCAAGGATATTAGTAGGGTACTGGTTATCTGATCAGAGAAATGGGGAAAATGGGAGCTCTTGAGGGAGGGGAGGGCTGTAAATACAAAAGAAGGAGGGGGAGGGTAGGGGGACTATCAGGGTTCCAGTAATCTGATAGGGAAAGTGTAAAATGGGAGGCCCTTTAAAGAAGGGGAGGGAAATAAATAAAAGAGAAGAGAGTAGAGTAAGGATGTCTGAAAATTCCAGAAGGAACTGTATTATTAACTATTTACCTATAAAATAACTCCTATAATGCAATAGTTGTAGACATATAGACATGTTTAGTTTTAATGCACTTTATCACTGGTCTGATGGTGCTTCCTCCAAGAGCCAAGAGCCACCTAACAAAAACCTAGATGCCATACATGAGAAGCCCTCTTTTGAGTTCATGGCCAGGGCTATCCAATAGACTTACAAAACACAAAACCTATTGCTTTAGCCCTTGGTTACCCTGCAAAGGTGGTGAGTCCCTACTGCTGATGGCATCAGTCACTTCAGACACCGGGTCCAGAAACCAGTAAGCAAGGACTGACCTTAATGCCCCTTCCAGAGGACTAGCATTCTGGGTACAAGAGAGTACCACACAAGTTTCAAAGAAGGAAGGTAACCATGAGGTTTTTTTGTTTGTTCTTTGTTTGTTTTTTGTTGTTTTGTTTTGTTTTGCTTTTTGAGACAGGTTTTCTTTGTGTACTTTGGAGCCTATCCTGGCCCTCGCTCTAGAGATCAGGCTGGTCTCGAACTCAGAGATCCGCCTACCTCTACCTCCCAAGTGCTGGGATTAAAGGTGTGTGCCACCAACGCCGGGCCGGTAACCATGAGTTCTATCCAGCTATGATGCCTATGAACCACATTGAAAATCAGCATGCAAAGTAATCCTACAGGTGCAGTAATGGCACACACACCTCAGTGGTTCCCCGCAGAGCTCTAATTGCACTGATGACCCACTCCTCAATACTGATGCCAAACCTGGTGCTGGAAACCCAGCTAACATATAAAGTGTGAGTGAAGCCATGGTTATTGGACCTCTAAAGGATAGCATAACCAATCAAACTGCAGAATTGTGGAGCTCAGTTCCAGTGGGTACATCTACAAAACACTCCTGCACCTTAGCCTTAGGGAACATTGCAGAAGAGAAGGCAGAATGATTGCAAAAGCCAAGGATTGAGAAGTTTTCTGAAAGACTCTGTTGTTTCTCTTGCTGCTATCAGAAGTCATACACGTAAAGTCTCATCAACCTGACCATTGAAATGTGAGCTGAACAGGATGATGCCAATGAACATGCCAGAGTGGACAGGGAGCAGCTCATGAGGCCTAAACCCTGCACAGAGAGGTATAGGCAACTGAGGAAAGCTGGGAACGAGAGAGGTGGCTTTACCCAGGGAAGAACACACCAACTGGTTGTCCAGCACTAAATGGTCACCCTTGAAAACATACATACACATAAAATTATATGGACTGAATAGGTTGTATTTAGGACACTATATGTATACCAATATACATATACACATGCAATAATAATTAGAAAAAAATCAGCCATGGATTTGAAGGAGGGTGGAAAGGGATACATGGCAGAGTTTGTAGAGAGGAAACTGATGGAAGAAATATTGTGGTTAAATAATAATCTCAAAAATAGTAATTAAAAATACAATAACATCTGAACTAGAAAGATCAGGTTCGTAGCCCAAGTTGCAACTTTTGTTTCCTATTCCACCCTGGGTGCTGTGTGCCCTGGTCTAGAGAAGCATTTCCCCACATCTAATAACCATGAAAGAGAAACATGGCTCCCTTCTTAGATATATCTCTCTGTTAAAACAGAGAGGTTGTAACTATCATGGGCCAATGGTATATCTCATCGTGCTGGCTTTTCCTATAGAAGAAAAAATGTAAAAGATGCATGAGCAAAGTGGCCACAGATTTTAGCTATTTAATGTCTTAGGACAAAAATCACCCATTAAGACAATAAAACAATTACCAAATGACATCTAAACAATTAGATGAAGTCAACTATCAACATGATAACAAGAAAATGGAGGGGCATGTATCTCTGTTTCCTTTAATCCTGGTATTATTTTAGTAGACTCCAGGAAGGAGATTCATGTTTTAAACAGGTGGAGCCTAAATGATGAGAGAAGCCCAGTGTGCGCAAAGGCAGAAAGTGAAGTCCATTGTGTAGACTTAGCTCAGAGAGCAATTCAGTTTGTGTTAGGAGAAAATGTTTTAAGGGCAAAGGGGACCCTTTTTCAAAAGTTCAGATCACTCCATAGAGTTCAATAATTTATGTGTTTCTTCACTTGTCCTGGAATTCGGAAATATGTGAGTATTTTTATGTAGCGTGACTTCTCCCCCAAAATATTTAATTTAAAAATGCCTTAAAATTGTCATTTACTTAGAACAGAGAAAATATGACCTCTGAAGTAACAGTGATCCCTTACCCAATCCGAGTTCATTGTTTCCATGTCTTATAGCAAATATTGACACATTTAACTGTGACCACCAGGTGGCGCAGAGTCCTAACACTACAGTATTTCCTGTGTGAATTTAAGTTTAAGACTCATTGTTTCTGTTTTCAACAAGCTAAGCATCTAGAACATTGTCTAGATGTCACTAAAGATGGATTCTGCCCCAGGCGTCGTGACTGCGATATTCCTCATACTCGGCAAGTAAAGTGATTTAGAATTTTCACTCTTTTATATCAAAAAAAAATGAGCCATAAATTCATCCCAAGAGCTTTGACTTTAAGGTGACATACATATCTGTTTTGTTTTTGTTTTCCTGAAGCAAGGACCCATGCAGAATCAGTGACACAGACAGAAGGTAAAGTGACCCTCTCAGAAGAGGACTTTCTTACTATTCACTGCAACTATTCAGCCACAGGATACCCAGCCCTGTTCTGGTACGTGCAGTATCCCGGAGAAGGTCCACAGCTCCTCTTCAGAGCCTCGAAGGCCAACGAGAAAGGAAGCAGCAGAGGTTTTGAAGCTACATATGATAGAGAATCCACTTCCTTCCACTTGCAGAAAGCCTCGGTCCAAGAGTCAGACTCGGCTGTGTACTACTGTGCTCTGAGTGACACAGTGACAGAAACCACAGCGGGAGCTGAACACAAACTCAGCACCAGGAGCCTGGCTGCTGAGCTCTTGCCTCTGGGGATGCTTTGGTTCCTCTGTACGGTGTGCCACTCGCTTCTCTGGTTGACACAAAAATCATTCAAATAGGCCCAGTGGAAAAACAAGTAGAGTCTTCCATCCTCAACTCCTGATTGGGACTAAAGCAATATCTGATGCAAACATGCCTCATGGGGTGCCTGAGATTCCCTCAGTAAAACCACGTGACTAAGGAAGTTTTCGCTTGTGTAGGAGAAGTCTGTCCTCCACATTTTCTTCCATAGCATTCATTCTGGTAGAGCTGGCTGTCTTTCATATTTACAGGAAACAGGACAAGCCCAGAAAGGGCTTTTACATAATGTTTTCTGAAAGCATGGAGGGAGAGGAGGGGTCAGGAGAGCCCAGTGTACCCAGTCCTAGGATTCCTATAGAAAAGGAAGGACAGAGCCAGGCCTGCAGCAAAAGCACAGAGAGGAAGGGAACTTCAACTGTGCATGGTGAGTTCTCGTTTACTGTTAGTGAGATCAGGCTGGTGCTCAAACACAAGAGTCTGAGGAGCAAGTGTGGAACTTTTGAGACCTCCGCAAGTTACAGGGTAGCTGGCTCTCTAAAGAGTCTCAGAAGTAGTTTCAGTGCTTGGGGGAGGGCAAGTACACACCTAATGCCCTCCCACATAAAATACATGCAGCATAAATCAGACGCAGTCTACACTCTCACAAAGTGATTAAATGGTTTTCTGTTCCTTCTATAATACAATGACGTGTTCAGGCTGAGATACCCAATGTTCCACAGCATATGTGCAGGCCTGAACTGTCAACATGAGCTTTTCGTGGGAAAAGGTCCCAGCTCTCTGTAGCAGCAATGCTGGTTTCTATTCAACTTGCTGAACTTCCTAGTCTTTCTGAACAGGAAACATATTCTGTAGAAAACTTCATAAACCAGACTCTACTGTCTTCAAGTCTCAGCTCAGGTGTCACTTCTGTGAGGAAACCACAGATTCTGCTGCTCTTCCTATGTAAAGATTTGTGACCTTTACTCTGTCATAGTGCTCCTGTTACTCTATCATAGTCCTCCTGTCACTCTATCATAGTCCCCCTGTTACTCTATCATAGTCCTCCTGTCACTCTATCATAGTCCTCCTGTCACTCTATCAAAGCCCATCCCAATCTATCATATTCCTCTCATAGTCCTCCTGTCACTCT